ATATTGCATGAAAATACGAGGACAACGTACGTGCTGTTGTACCAACACTAGTTTTGTAGGAAGTAGGGAAACAGATATCAACAAAATTTGTGGCTAGTGTTGGTCTGTAGCGCATTCAAAATATGTATTAGAACTGTGCGGATATAGGAAAGTGATCATCAACCTGAATCTTATTCAGCTCATTGTCTTAGGTGGCTCAGGGCATCACTTGATGTTACTGCAGTGCCTCTGACCTGAAGGTCCTGGGGTTCGAGTCCGGAGTGGCAGATTTTAGACGCCAGCTAGGTAGGTAGGTTGAGTGTCCCACTTTGAAAGTGAAAATAGCTTCTTTGTGGGCCATATTTCGAAGGTTTCTGGCAACGCGTGTAATGGAGTGATGGTAACCTCAAAATGTAATATAACATACAAAAAAGTATCATTTTGTATGTTACGTTATAAGAAATATAATCTATCTTTGCGGTCATGAATACCTAGTAGTAAGCTAGAGCGCATCCAAATACGTTGTAATAGCATACGCGTCGTTTCCGGGTTCCGCACAGTAGGAACATGTGTTGCAGCGGATCGTGAGGGTGGCATTTGGGCCTTCGTGTCCACCTATACAGTCTGCGAAATTCTATGTTGACATTCTCATATATTATGTCTAGAGAAAATTATAAAACGCTGGAAGCAAAACAATCGATATCTTGACATGCCTATTAGGGGTCTCTAACACCGACAAATTTTGTTTTTCTTTTTTCTATACGTCGTACGTATGCGTAGACATGTATACCTATGTACCTTTAGGACACACCAAACTTTCTTACATACTATACATAGAGTATTCAAATTACACCATTTAAAGGCACCAGAAACATAAAAAGTAGTAGTTTTTTTTTAAACGTCTGCCTGGCCGAGTGCTTGTCCGTCTGCAGAAAACACTAACGCCTAAACTGTTCATAGGATATTCTCTAAACCCGATATTGCACAATCCATTTGGTTGATGTTGAGAACCGTTGAATTTAAAACGGATATGTAAAGGTTTTGGACCCTTTACTAGAAGCTCCTAGGACATTTTCGAAATGTTCAGAGAAATAGCAACAGTATTTTTTTGTTTGCTTGCTTGATAAGTAATTCCGGACGTGCCAAATGTGAAAACCATTAGTCCCGAAAGTGCAGTGCATGTTCTGTTCCGGAGGTGGCGGTGGTTTTCCCCCGCTGGATGGCGAGATCCGGCGCCAACTTACCGCCAGCTAGCGCGGTTTTCCCTAACCCCCTTGTATCTCCCACCAGGGGGTCACCACCCCAGTCGGGAAACGCTCGAAGCTGTCGACCGGTCTCCCGGTATGTGTGGCAGTGTAGTGCATGTATGTGTAAATGCGTGTAAATAAGGTGTGAGCATGGGACAAGGAAGATAAAGGGAAGATCGCGCGCGGCCCGTTTGTTTGGGAACTGCTCCGGCATTCGCCTGGTGTTGATAGGAGAAACCACGGAAAACTACCGATCACCGACCGCTAAAATTCTCCGCCAGATAGCGGAGGCTGAACTCGACATAGTAATGTTTGTTTGAAAAAGAGTACGCTAATGCAATAGATCGTATGCTTAAAAGAGTGGTGCAAGTTCGATTTTCGGTAAAATTATAAAATTTCATAAATTGTAAAAGTTAAATTTTTTCGAATCCTACCAAGGTACATTATTAAAGAGAGGCTTTCGAAAATAAAATATGTTTTAAATATTATATATTAAAGTAATGTCATGTACAATTTTTTCAAAAAAAATATTTCGCATAATTTTGTGCGAAATCGTGACAATTAAAAAAAGTACTTAAAGAAGACAGCTGCACTGTTTTGTTTCATTTTTTCCCGACTTTCATTAAACCTTTGGAATTTCGAAAATTGCATAAATTCAATTTCTTTCTAACCTTTCTTAGACATTCCATATTGAAGCTGGACACTTCTTTGTTAATGTACCGTCTATTTTTCAATTTTAAATCCTAAAATCTTGTACTGAAAAATTAAAATTGTAAAATATTAGCAGTTTTCATATAATTTGGAGCTACGTTATTTGAGTTTCTGAAGTGATGTCTGAGGGGCTAGTAGTGGCAATACAAAAGTAATATGCAACCGTTACTAATAATACGAGAAAGTAAGTGCTGCCGTAACTCCACAAGTTTTCGTTTTTAGTATGTTTGATGCAGGTTTCGGTGTAATTCCCACTCCGTATCTCCTACTAGCTCACAGTTACTCCCTGTTACTCAGTCACTCGTTTCAGAATTTTCTGACGATGGCATCTTTTAAAATCCATCAAAACCGTCCTCTTTCTTTAGCGTATTATACACAAGGGGATTATTTGAAAAGAATAACGGGAATTTCTCTAAAAGAATTATGATTTCAATGCTCTGAAAACAGTACAAAACAGTACAAAATGTGTAACGTTAACACAAAGAAAGTGAAGTGACATTGATGTTTAGCACAACATGTTCTTTCAATATTTCTCGTGCATGCAACTTCCCTTGGAAGATCGCACGGACGAGGTGCAGGTGTGTGTGAGGGCGAAGGGGCGTACCTGGGTCTCGGTGACGTTCAAGAGCTTGGCCATTTCCGCCCGCTCCGACGACGACAGGTACTTCTTCAGCTCGAACTGCTTCTCCAGCTCGAAGATCTGGCGGCCCGTGAAGGTGGTGCGCGCCTTCTTGCGCTTGCGCTCCGTGTCGCCCGCGGGCGGCGGTCGCCAGGGCCGGACGGCTATCTCACGGTGTTAACATAGTACACCTAAAGATTGCTAAGAAATATCCAAAGCCCCGTCACTGCGGCGAGCACGCTGCGCGTAGAGAGATAGTTAAACGACATCATAGGTTCGCGTAGTTTGAGTGGCAGCTACAACCGTATATCTATTTGCTTTCCCTTGAATTTTGACATAAGACAGTATGAGTTGATTCGTGTAACGGGGTTCAGCATTACGTGCAAAGATTGGCAATCTCATAATGAGTCTAGCTGTACGCCTCCGCGCCGGCAGCGCGCCCGCGCGACCGCGCCGCCGCGCCGCGCCCGCGCCGCCGCCCGCGCCGCCGCCGCGCCGCCGGCGCCGCACGCCTTCCGGCCGGCGCCTCCTTCTTCCGCTTGGGCCGACGAGAAGGGTTTGCTCGCTGGCGCCGCTTCTGCAACACACACGCGCGCCCACACGCGCTCGGTGAAGGCGCCGCCCGACCCGACAACGCGCTTATTCACACGTTTTTACTTTCTTGACTACTACGTTCTTTAGTAGTAATGAGAAAGTAGAAGAGACCAGGGCGGGGTGGCACACAAGTTTCTACATCAGACACGTACTTCCTAGTTTTTCGCATGTGTCCTTCAAGACTGAATCAACATACGATCAGAGCAAGTGTGGAGTGTAGTAGTGGAACGGGGATCTCAAATGTATGTTATGTAATGACCTTGGAGAGTAATTTTATCGTAGTTCATTTATTACCATCTGTCGTATTGGGAAAAAAGATTTAGCATCTCTCTCTTTTTCATCTAAAACGTATCAGCAAGGATTTCTGCGTATGAAGTTTTATTTTGACTTCTCCTGTCACCTAAACTGTCAACTGTAATAAATAGCCCTCTTCGGGGATGTTTGGCAGTTTTCATTTGAGGTTGGCTGGCAAAGCGTCAGCCAGCCCCATCCTGTCTGCCAACCATCATCACAAAGTAAAACTATTTTTCCGGTATTTTGTACTCAGATGTAGAATAACATCATCGGTACTGGCCACAATTAAGAACATTTTCGTAATTTTCTCAAAGTCCTTGGACCACAGAACTCAAATGTAAATTCAATGCTCAATTAAACCACCTCTCTGAATAATTTTGAATAAATCTCTACTGGTGGCGTTACAAACCATTTTGATAAAATAAAAGTTCGTGTCATTTCTGGCACATTTTCAAAAGCCGATATATCTGTACAAAAAGTACCAAGTGGTGGTACCGTAAGTGCAGTGAATGATTATCCCGAACAGAGGTGGCCTTTTCTAAATGGATGGCGAGATCCAGCGCTAACCTACACGTAGGTTTGCGGGGGATTTCTCCTTCCAGGTATCTTCCCCAGCGAGGCAAGCTCTAAGCGCCTGACAGGTCACCCACAAGTGCGGAACTGAAGTACATCCAACTGAAGAGTGTAGGGGAGAAAGGGGGACAATGGAGAGAAAGGAAAGATTGAGTGCGCTCTGTGGCCCGCTTGTTAGAGTTCTGCTCCGGCATTCGCGTGGTATTGATCGGAGAAGCCACGGAAAACTACCGATTAGAGCAGCAGGTCGCTAGGATTCTCCTCCAATCGGTGACTGAATTCGCTCCAGCTATATGGGCCGGAAAATTCCGCCATCCTGGGACCTCCCAATCAGAGATGCTGGACAGTGGTGATACTGGCTCTGAGATAAGTTACCCCGAAGTCACACGACGCATTTTTTTATTAAAATGGGGTACAAAATGTGAAAGGCACATTTTAAAAATATTATTATGAATCTACCAAGGCTGCTGCAGTTGCTAACGTGAGGCTGTTCTTCAAGATCAAACGGTGATAAACACATTAGCATTTATTTACGTAAAAAACACCGAAAATGATTCGTTTTCACTTTTATTTATTACAACACACTTTCACAGACGTGTGCCAACCTATACCAAGACCTGTGCCAATCACCTCACCAATTGGAAAAACTACCAACTTGTGTTAAGCATCCTCGGTTTTAACTATTGTAAAGTTGCAGCAAAAGTGGCCATTATTCGACAGAAAAGCTCCTATTGTGGGTCCCTGATACCGGAAAAGTGCATACTTCTTTCTCCTGCAAGTGTTAAATTACTTCCTCTAAAATGTTATCCGTCCATTCGTGGGCAATGGCGTCTAAATCAGCGTTTGCCAGCTGGCGGAGAAATGATGTCGGAGCTCCATCCCCCTCCGCGAGATAAGAGAAGCAGGCGCCAGCAACGCGGGGGCGGGCGGGTACACGGCTGTCGCCGGAGACGAAACCCTTGGCAGTGGCAGTGGGCCTTTGCCGGTGCTTCAGGCAACATGAGAGCCCATCTATGCCCGATAATGTTATTTCGATTTGGGAAGAAATGTATTGTAACTATTATGCAATAATTAACTTATAACCAATACATATTTCCATCATAGTATTAACCTAAGTGTATGGAAAAGTTAATACCAAAAACAGCACAAAACACATGTACAATGCAGATAGAACCGTTGACACTTCCTTAAATGTGAAATCTCGGGACTCTAACAGCAAGGACAACTGTAACGGTTTGAGCTCCCCTACGCCTGACCCGTGGGAAAGGAACGCTAAGAAGGGCAGACAGCAGTAGCCTTGCGTAGTGTTTGATAGATACGTGATAGGCGTCTGTGTGTTTTAGGGAAAGAAGAAATGGGTCGTAAAGGGAAGGAAACGTCTTTGGAAGAGAGAAAAATTATCATTAGGTTGCATAATCAATGCAAATCGTTGCGGTAAATTTCTGAGCTTTTAATCGGACCAACGAAGACTATTCTCGGAGTCATTTATAGGTTTAGTTTAAGGAAAACATTGAAAAACGTGGAAGTCCAAAAAAACTTAGTGAAGCAGATGGCCGTGCAATTCTACGGAAAGTGAAGAAAAATCAACGATTAAAAGCACCAAAAAATAGCAAGTGGACTTGAAAATGAATTGCAGATAAATTTAAGTGAGAGTACTGTGCAAAATGTTTTGAGGCAAAGTTGCTATCACGGAAGAGAAGCTAGAAGAAAATAGTATGTGGATTAAATCTGCAAAAAGTGTAAATAAAAGAAGCGAGTTTTGAAAAAATGTTATTTTTACCGACGAAAGGAAAAACAACATATTTTATTCAGATGGAAGACTGATGAGTTTTTTAAATTTTCGTTACAGATAATTCAATTAAAACATTTTTGTAGAAATCCTTAGGTGTTCGAATACTTTTTACATTCACTGTAGTTTTTAAATGTTGAAAAGGTGATACATACTTTTTACTATTACTCAGTAAGGAGCAACAATTGTCATTAGTTCAATTGATCCACTTTAGTACACAATTAATACAGAATAATAATGAATAATGTGTGATGAGTATAAAATAAAAAAACGGTACATTTTATTTCTATAGTGTATTGTTTTAAGTAGTTCAACATTGAGTACAGTCCAGCTTGTTTCTGGAGAAAGCTTTTTTGCTTCACACTGCGGAAAAAGATAAGACTGATGTTGCGATCTGAGGTGTGCTCCACTTTAACCAGTATTTTAAGAAATGAAATTGTAAGAAAAAATGAGCACTTGTTGAAACTACTCTACTTTGTTTCGCAGTAATGTTGTAATGTATGAGTACATATAAATTGTACATGTAAATTGCTATACAAATATTGATAACACACGTAATTACTACCATACACTTATTGTGCAGGCACATGGAATATAAAAACGGACTTTACGAGACCACAAATAACAAAACAGCTTGAAATTCCCACACATGGATACTAAAACACTACAACAAATGAGAGGAGAGGTCTTTCAAAAGTGTGTGAAGCCATCAAATATAATTTTTTTCATGGATGCAGTACACCACAGGAAGAGTACTAATGTACTAATGTGAAGAACTTTTCATCGTAATATAGATTTTTACCTGACACGAAAAAAATTAAAGTGCGTAGTTTATCGTTAACCCATGCCATTTAAAGAAAGAAATAACTTATTTTCATGATTTCGCAATGTTATTTGTGTAACAATAGCGTTAATCTCTCACATTTATTATATTTATTATTATTCTTTGTTGTTATTATTATAAAGTTTATTACTTTAATACTTTTTAAAAATAAATTTTTAAAAGAACAGCTTGTGTGTTGAAAAAAGTAAAGAAAAAACGAATTAATATTAGAGCATTAACAATGTACCATTAATTAGTAATTTTGCCCTTGGAACATTTGATATTTTCTTTTAGTTTTGGAATACAATAAAAAAAAATTCGGTCATGCATTCGAAAATACTTTTCTGATCAGGGCATACGGAAAAAGTTATTTCTATCTGTTTAATCAAATACCAACAGAAAGGATACCATAAGCGTTTCAAAACAGTAAAAGATAGAGCAACGGCAAATTAATGCACTTCATTAGTTGCCCCTATAGCCACTAACCAATTTGCGATTCAGATCGATTCACTTTGTCACTTCGTTAAAATCGAAGTTAGAATCGATGTTCAAAAGCACGGTGCTAAACTATTCGTTTTATAAAATATCAAGGGCGTAATTTTGTGTACAAAATACGACGCCGATCGAGAGCGTCCGCAGCGCTCACTTTTCCCCACTCTCCCTCTCGCAGCGAGGGTCTGCATGAGTCGAATAAACGAGTCACTTTCAGTATTGATATTACAAATAATAGCTCGAAGTCACCAGCGAGGGTAAAGCCAATTGAACGTTCACAAACGGCTGGCGGATTTCAACCCCTCGACCTACAGGGGGTTAAACCGCGACAGATCATTAAATAAAACAGCACTGCATTTTAGAAATCTCTTTAGTTACATTTGGAAAAGAACGAATTTCATTGGCCACTTGTTTAGGTACAATGAATTTTGTGATTTCAATCATAACATGCATTTCAAAATTCTTTAAAAAAAATAAATAAAAAAGAACTAGTAATAGTTTGACATCGTTCTTAGATGCAGGCGCCACGGATCTTACAATTCCAGTTTAACAAACCAACGGTAAAATGTATACCTTCGGAATTTCAGCTCTTGAGTAAACGAAAACTGATATCCAGATATTAGTCAGTCGCGAATAGTCATTATTAAGTCTTAAACGAAAGAAAAGTAAGGGTAGAAAAGATAAATGAACACCATTTTCTCCCGCTATTTCCGCTCGTATGTTGTAAGTGCTCATACATCCCCACCTCCGGCAGATGCACTAAAAGAAATGTGTTCCTTAATCGACTGTCGACTTATTAAATTGTTCATATTTTTGTTGATGGGATGTTAATTGGAAAACTCTGTTAATTGGAAAAAGTGCTCTTTACAAAACCATACAAGAAATGGGTGTTGACATATTCTTTGTTGATGAAAGGCGCCATGCCTACACGCTTTAGAACGTGCTTCAGGACGCAAACAGTACGATTCCACAAACCATACAAATTACTGAACTGAACTCACGAAAGAAATG